TGAGTTTTGGAACCACAGAAGTATGTAGAATTACAGCTTTTTAGTTCTATTGTGGACTTCTGTGCCAGGATTTTACGTACTCTTTGGCAGGAAGGGATAGAGGCTTGAGGGCGCAGGAGCGTTTGAAGTTTTGAGGTCTAGGGTTCCAGGCCCCAGGCCAGATCGCCTGAAACATGACCCCCCGACAGAATCACACGGTACGATGCTGACGTGAAGGTGGGAAGTTCGCGGGCGCTCTGCGGAAGAGCTTGCCTGTCAGGCTTGACCTACTTCCGCAACGAGCTTGCAGCGTTCCGGGTTCTGCACAGGAAGCAATGAAGCCCCATCATCATCCCTATATAACACCCATATATACCCTTATGATAGTACGTACATCCCCTTTAAGCACCAGTAGATGTCGCGCATGTTGACCAAGGCTTCCTGACCTAGGGCATTTCCCGCCCACCAGGAAAAACAACCAGTGACAGCGCCGCACTTGTGATTCTGTGATCAAACAAGAAAAACGCAGTCCAAGGGCGTCAGCCAACACCTTGTGGAGCATCTCCACTAATGCTGCTTGAGCACAGGAGCGTGTCCATGGCTGCGCAAGTAAGTACACGGCCAGGCAGGCGAGATTCCTCGTTCTTCTGCTGAAGAAACCAAGAAATACAGGGATGCTTCGCTTGTTCGAATCCTTCAGCGGAACCTGCAGCAACCCCAGAACAGACTTTCAAAGTACAAATGCAGGCAAAAAGCCTGAACAGGAATGAGCTTTGCTTTACAGACCACATCCCCATAATCCTCGAAACCTAAATAAACCCTAAACAATCAACCCCAATTAACTCTAAAGCTCGCGCTCCGGGACCCGGAGCAAAGTCCATAGATTCCAAACCCTCAGCAATCTGGAGGATGTCATACGATACGCGTGAAGAGAGAGAGAGAGAGAGAGATATATATATATATAATCCTCACCGGGTTTATAAGGAAAACCGGAGATTTGAATATGCGTATGTATATATGCATGTACACACATTAGAATTATAGCCAACTATAGCCCATATTGTGCTTTGGAACACAAACGCATTACAGTAAGATTGTATTGTTATGTTCAACAATGACCCAATTTGAGGGTAGTGCAAGAAGGCAATGCTGGGGCACCCACTTGTATGGCATGTCCTGCAAAGACGCACGGTTGGACATAGCGTGTACTTTTGAAAGTTTTGGTGCGACCTAATTACACCTTAAAAAGAAAGCCACGTACCAAACACTTTTTTTGAAAAAGAAGAAGCATGTGCCATGGTTTGACACGTTTTGCATACTTTGGGATTTCAGGTGTCTTTACCCAAGGGCTCCTATGTAGTTCCTTTTTGGGTCTGATATCGTTTATTGGGTAAGGGATTAGAATATACTACCCAAAACGGAACTACATAGGAGGGTCTGGGTACAGCTTAAACTCAGCTCTAGGTCACTTCCTGAAGGCAGGGATAAGCTCAGGATCTTTCACCCTCCTACACCCTACTTAAACCTCCCAAGTACCCATAAGAACAGCCCTCAACCTGAAAATGGAAGGTATGTAGGCTGTAGCCTTGGCTCTAGACCCTAGAGCCTATGGGGAGGTTTGGGAGGTCCACAGCACGTGCACCACTCTGCACCCCACGCCAAGAACTCACATCAAGCCCCGCAATCGATTGAATTAGAGTGCCAACGTCAAGCAGCAGGGCCACTTTGAGAGAATAATGAGCGCACCGCCTAAATCGCAAATTCAAAAAATTGCGGAGAACAGGTGAGCCATGTCGTACGACATGTGCAAGTCACGGCCTCCTCAAGTCGCGGTATGCGATCATTGAGGCGCCTGTTGTCCTTTGAGCGCTTCTGGATCCAAGCATCTACAGCTTCTGCAATTTGCAACCCATGAATAAGCATGCGCGGGCCTCGCCTCGGCGAGGACAATCACCAGCTGCTGCGTGACCCGCAGATCAGCATCTGTGTAGCCCTCATGGCTCCTCAGCCGCTTACAACAACCAGTATGCCGTCCCTCTTGAGACCCAAATGGATGAATCCAAAGGGTACGGGGCTGTGCAATAACAACTGTGGCTCGGCGTTTGCCCCTAAACCCTAGGCTACACCCATAAACCCTAAACCTGAATTTAAGCCCCAGTTGCCCAGTTAGTGTCAGCCCCGTAAAGTGATGGTCCCTGAGCATTACATCTTGAGCTGGCTCAAAACGCTAACCATGTTCTACACAGGGGTGGATGAAATCTGCATGGCCCTGCTTATCCGAAACCTGAAACGTATGGTAGCATGGTATATGGCTACGTTTCAGCACGATTTTGTCCAGTAACAGCAGGGGTGCACTGGGGCAAGCCTGGAAACCCTTCACAACCTTGCGAATACTCCCTGAAACTTGCGTCCCCTGCACACGGTCCCCCTCAGGCCCTGGCGATCAGAAACAAAGGAGCAAAAGTCAGGATACACAATACCCTAAGGGTCCAAGGACCCAAATACTAGGGCTTTAGGTCCCAAATAACAGAATAATAATGGTATTTGGGCCCTAAACCCCTATTATTTGTGTCCTTGGACCCTTAGGGATATATAGGCTGGCTTTGGGGGTACTTGGGCGGTCACTAAACCGTTTGGCTCTGCAACTGATATATCCGGAGCCCCGACCCCCAAATGAGACCACGACATCCCACCAAGCCCTACCTGAACCCCAAAAGGAAGTCAAATGATGGGATTTAGGGTTTAGGGGCAGCGAAAGGACGTTCTTACACGCTTTTCGGCTTCAGGTACAACCAATCGGGTCTTGTGCATTGAATGACCAAGGTGCTACCCTGACCAATTACCTGATCATTGATCACATAATCCAGCCCTAAACCTTAAACCCTAGGGTTTAGGGTCCTTATGGCTATGAGGGTTTCTGACTGGCCGAGATACAAATCACCGGCACTGAGGGGCTGAGATGCTAACTTGACACCAGATCTGCCTATGGCACAAATCAACCGCCCCTAGGACTAACCCCCGCCCCCATATCAGACATGTCAAGAATAGTCTATATAATATCCTTTACTGGGGATATCTATAAGGTTGCGGGGCTGTTTTATTGCACATTAAGGGGCGAGGATGTTCAAGTAAAAGCCCTACGACTGCCAAATCCCATCCGTATAGACCCCTGCCGCCTCTTTATTGATGTCTATGTAGCCATATATAACACCCGCCCATGGACCAAATGAATCCAAGAGGCAATGTGAGTAGAGCTTTTTGGTGGTTGAACGGCGAAATTCCTCTGAAACACTAGACCCAAGAAGGGGATACAGTCCTACTCTATACTGGAGCTATAGTATCCCTACTAACAATACCATCTACAATACCACATAACCCATACATGATCCAAGTCACCATTTCATCTTTCATCTCCCTTTTCAGTTGATCCTCCGTTCTTTCCGAACCCTATAGACCCCCATGTATCCCTATACAGTACTTGATCAAATTTCCAACATGGTTTTCTCTACATGCTTCCTTATTGAGATACAGGATCCCTACAAAACTTACCTAGAGGAGCTTTAGATCAGCCCCATATCCTAACCCTAAACCGTAGATACCCCTATATAAACCGTGCAAATAATCCCATAGAATCCCTGTATGCCGTTATGCGGAACAGGATGGACCGTTCGCTCATCCCCAATATGTGGGATGCGGAGGATCCCCATAATAAAGACTGCCCTAAACCCTACACCCCAAACCCTAGCCACTTGCCGTGCCTCCTTTTCAACGACCGCTCGGCACCTTAGGCTTTAGGGTTTAGGATTTGGGGCTTAGTTTAAGGCTTAGGATTTATAGGGCTTAGAATTGAGGTTCAATGGTTTATGGGGCGTCATGTGTGGTGTACACTGGCCTGAAGGTACATATGCTGGGAATCTATAGTCCTGCAACTTGAGCACCAAATATATACACTTACTAATCGCTCTAAGGAAGCCTATAGATATACACTGACAACAAACCACAAGTACAGCCCAGTTCAGAACAGTTGACATCTTAAATCCAGCATGGTGCCTATATGGGTTGTATAAGCTTTATGCATTGGGGATTACAGGACAAAATGCAAAGAGCTTAGGTCGGGCTACATTTTTGGCGGTTCGGCGGAAGGCTTTGTGGAGTCGGGGATGGAGAGCTCGGGCTACCTCATGCCCACAAGTATGTAGCATAACAACCTTTATTTGCTTTGCGAACTTTGGGGTCGGGTATTGGTCCTAATACCTACTGTTAAACTCGAGGTAGGGATCCAAAATGCGTCATCCAAGTCCCTGAATTCAGGGGGCAAAAAGGTAGGTGAGTTAAAGGATCCTTAATATATACTCCACGATATTGGGGCTTATTTCCTATACCCCACCTTCCTTCATCCCACCTTTTGAGCCCTTTGATGAATCCCCTGCAACCTGGGACCTGCATCCATTGAACACGCACAACCGCTCCACCAAATAGGAACTATAAGTTTTCCCTGGACCTCCCAGTGCCCAAAATAATGGCGGCCTGGTCAACAATTATGGGTAAATGGGCTATACTTCAAAGAGGAACTAAGCTCTGGTCCCAGCTCCTCCCCGCCCTGGAGCTGGAGTTTAGGGGTTTGGATTTGGAGGGTTTAGGTCCTTCAGTCTCTTGCCTGCCGGGCGTTTGCAAGCGTACTTCCTGACTCGGAAGCTCACCTGGTTGCTGAATTGTCTAAACACCCTGCGCTTTCGGTTCTTGCACGAAGCATCTGATCAAGCATCTGGCAGCATCTGTGTCTTCTGGTAAAAACCCTCAGACGAGACCCCAAAGCTGACGATGGTCGCAAGGACAACAGACAACGGAAATGAATACAGTGGATGAAGGAGATCGTTGCGGAGACTAAGTGGCGCAAGATTTCCTCTATCCGCAGGATTCACATTTCGTTCAACCTCAGGCTTACCTAGACCCGCCAAAGACCCCAAGTCAAAGCAAATATCCAGCAATTGGGGGTTAAAGGCCATTATTGTGGGCATTTGGGGGATTCTGGAAAGCGTTTCGTTTTGTGTTGAAAACGGTTAATTTTCTGACAGAGCACTAAAGAAACTGAAGACTAACCTGAAAGCGAATTAGTCCCTGCACTCATTTTGAAACCCTGAACTTTTCCAAGCCCCTTATGAAGGAAACCATCTTCAAACATACCTAGAAACCTTTAATAAACAGGTGTACCTTAGGTTCGGCAAGTTCTGGGAACCTACAGCTTGAAGGCCGTTTGGACTTGGTAAGTAAATACTTGCTATCCCCAATAACCCTTACAAACGCTGGGGTTAACACACCTCACTCGAAATACACGTCATCTCCAAGGCAACCCGACGTAAAGGCAAATTTCCCGTTCTGCTGCGGGCTGGGGTTTGAGAACTAAATCACGAGCTTCAAGGCTTAAATTTTGTATGATTCCCCAGGTAGTCGCTGGTGGACGCTGGTTTTACACCTGCCCCAACATGGGATAATGAGATACTGTCATTTCCCAAGTAATGTCGTCAGTTCAGGTGGAGAAACCCCTATACATCCAAACATTTTATGCGTAATTTCATCTTTTTGTATGAGGATCCCCAGTACGTCCTAACATCTTTAATGCATTTCCCGTGGTAAGCTTCTCATTCCACTTGCAGCGCCCCTAGAAACCCTACTGGTTTATATGCAACTTCCGTAAGAAATCCAACCACCGGGGTTTGAGAAGAAGTCACAAGTCTTAAGTGTCGTATGATTCCTCATGTAGACGCTGGATTTACACATGCCCCATCATGACATCATGGGATGATGGGATACTGGCATTTCCTGATTATTGCGTTGTGGACCAAAGAGGCCGCCCGAGACGGTCTTCGATCCAAAACGATTGAGCAATGCCTCGTAAACAACCAAGGTAAGAAAAGGTGGCCTTCTTTGAGTTGCAAAGAGCTGCATGGATGTGACAATGTCTCATATCTAGTATATGCGTGAGGGAGACAAGGCATGCAAAGGACTCGATATCATGAGCTGAAACCCTGGGGATGCTGTAGAAACAGTGCAATTGCAAGAATTGCTTTTGCGTGACATCTATTCTAGTAGCTGCTTCTGAACAGGGTCCCGCAGTGTGGACGCTACTCTATGTGTAACAAGTCCCAGCCAATGAAAGATAACCCGACCGGTAGTACCCTAAGCAGCTCTCCGGGGAGCCCACCCAATGGAGTCCGAGGTGCAAGGCGTCAGCGAAGTCTGAGGATTCAGCAGAAGACGCCTCCAGGACTTGAAATGTTTGGGTTCAGTGTCTAGGATTCAAGGCTTAGAGAGGGCTTCGGATTTTGTAGGGTTTAAACTTTACGATGTTGGAAGCACAGTCTACGGGTTATGGGTTTCAAATGAGCGTTCAAAGTTCAGGAGAGATTGGGGCTTCAGGATACGCTTAGGGATACGGAAGTGGGGTTTCAGCATAAAGGTTTAAGGCATACCCCAACCCAAAACGATCCGATACTGAACCACGAGATCATCTCTTCATTTCACATGATGTTATAGACTACTCTGCGAGGTCCTTGCTTTGTATCCTGTAGGCGGTCTGGGCGTTTTTTGGCTTCAATGCATGTGGAAAACATGTTGATTCAATTAAAGATGTTTCACGGGTGAAGTCCACGGTAGAAACAACAGCCAACAACACGAAGCATCGTCATATTGCCTGTCCGTATTCCCCTTCAACTGTTCTGTCATGCTGCGAGGTTCGGACCCTCTAGGCAAATAAGACAATCTGAACTCCCAAGGCAATTAAATCTTTAACAAAGTAACAGCGGACGGGTGTCAACTTGCACAGCAGCTTAACATGTATCCAACAAGTGAAACGGCTCGTCAGCCTCTGAATCGCTCATTGCATCAATATGGTGTCGCGTGGTGAGCTGGTAGGCGTTTGCTTTCCGATCTGTGTCTGGACGTTAAGCTAAGTCCGTACCCAATATGAAATATCAAAGAAATGCGATCCCGCGTGAGAAGAGCTGCTACTGGGCTTTTGCCCCTCGTGCGATTCCACTCAGGACCCACGTGGATATGAAAAAACTTCCCGTAGTACTATAATCCAAAATTTTGGGAAGCCCCAAGTGTGATGCATGTCGCACTGTGTAGGAAAGCCAACTAGCTCAAAAAGTCCTGTGCGGTTTGCCTGCACAGCGTTTCGATTCAGGGGTAGAAGCGTTTAGACTTTAAACTTCCAGCCACGCGGTCAAATGTTGAGGTTTCGCGCTTCCTTATTGTTCACTTGCCTTTCAACACAAGCCAGACTTGCATCAGAATTTAGGGTTCATGGCACGGGACGTTTCATTGAACAATGTCTCAAAAAGTCCAAGTATCCCAGAATTGGGCACTACAACTATTCCAGCGGCGCTACGTCGGTTGCTGCTGCTGTTGCTGTTGTTGCTGCTACTGCTGCTACTGCCTACTACTGCTACTACTACTACTACTACTATTACTACTACTAACACTAACACCAACACCAACACTAACACAAATACCAAGACTAAGACAAATACTACTATCCCTCCTACTATTACTGCTACTGCTAAGAACAATGCTACGGCTGCTGCTGCTACTACTACTACTACTACTACTTCTACTCCTGCTGCTGCTGCCGCCGCTGCAGCTTTATTGCTGCTACTGCTACTGTTCTTACATCAACAACGTACTTCAACCCGAACCCTCACCATCAAAACGTCAACTTGACGATTACCATGGCCAGCTTTGTTTACTTCTTTCTCATCTATTGCCACAAGGAACTCTCTCGGACACTCAGACATACGTGTAAGCATTGCAAAAGGCCGGCTGCTAAACAATAATCCCACCATCGCCTTTCCGTGGACCCCATCTCTCTCCATTGCACCCGAACGCCGAACTTCAGGTCTATGGCTTGATGCGCATGCAGGGCGTTCACTAAGATTGTCGGCTGAGCGCAATCCTAACCTGAAAGGCATAAGGTCTCCACGCGTGTGCGAAGCCATTGCGCGATGTGTGCTCTTGAACCGCGCAAATATTTTGATCATGACAAACGTATGAAGATCTAAAGCATCGGCTTTGCTTGGAATGCTGTCCTTGCACAAGGCTCAAGCTGCAGGCACTTCATTTGAATTGTCTGTGCAGCAGCCTCAATCATGCGCTCCTGGGCTGTAGTCCCAGTATCGTGGGTCAACACCTTTCCGAACATGCAGGACTGCATCATGAGTGAACATGTTGTTCAACCGCAAGGAGGCTGTATGCGAAGTGCGTAGTGCTGCGTTTCAATGCCTTGCAGCTGAGTTGCAATGAGTTGTGCGTTTTTAAGCCTGTTTCTGTACGAACGAAACCACCTTTTTAATCCCTTCCCCTAATATTCAAACCACCCCTAACATCACATATGGGTTCGCCAAAATTCCAAATCCTGAAATCTGCCCTCAAGACTATTTTCAAAAGGGCCAAGACTAAAGTTGATTGCGGCTCGGATCCTTTGAATTAGGGGGGGTTTTGGCAGGAGTCTTACGGATTAGGGATCTCCTTGATTTCCTAGTTCTTGTTTGTTTTTGAATGGATTTTATAAAAGAGTTTATATAGAGGAATTCTAGCAGCAGATTCCAAGCCCCTAATTTGGACTAATCTCTAATAAGGCCCTAATTTGAACTAATCCCTACTAGGGCCCTAATTTGAAGCAGTCCGTTACAAGGCCCTAGTCTGAAACATTCTCTTGTAATTCCCGAATAGTCCCTACGAAGGCCCTTAATTGAACCAGCTCCTAATAAGGCCCTAATTTGAACTAGCCCCTAATAAGGCCCTAATTGGAAGTAGTCCCTAAGAAGGCCCTAACCTGAGATAGTCCCTGACAAGGCCGTAATTTGAAATATTCCCGAATAAGGCCCCAGAAGTCCCTATTAAGGCCCTAATTTGAAATAGAATGTTCGGGTCGTACGATAAATACCCCCCCCCCTAATAGTAAATACAGGCGGAAGTATTTACCTTGGGGGGGGTGGGGGGGGACCCTTTTAATATTAGGGAGAAAGGATTAACGCAATGAACAGGCCTTGAACAGCTTCTGCAACAAACCATGAAGATCGGATCGTTGCACTTTAACAAGGCCAGGTCTTTATCATCATGGCCCAAGATGGTGAAAGCATCCCAAGAGGATTGCAGTGTCCATATCTGAGAATAGACAACAGGTGAAATAATGGCCCAAACCCAGAGAGCAGAGCCAAAACGCGGTTGTACTATATACTTTTTGAGCTCAGGTAATTGTAGATTTCAGGTTTGAAGAGTCACGCAAGTTTTATGACTGAGATCTACGGTACGGCGCGGGTTTGAAAGGACCAGTGGAACGCCGAATCACGAGTAGATATCGCCTGCAGATAGCTTCGACATGCGTGCTCAGTTCATTGGCGTAGGATGTTTGGGTTATAGCTTGTGTCACTGTAGGAGCATGTATGTGACAGGATCTACAGGTTCCTGAATGTGTGTGCTTGTGGAGCGTGTGGCCTCATGGGAAGTATGATTATTCAAGGTCTTTTGCATCCGGGACCCCCAAAAGCATGTGAAATGAATGCCATGAAACACTTCAAAAAAACAACAAAGTAGTCAAACCACACTTCTTCCACGTGCCTGTGAGGGGACTGGTAAGACCCACAACCCTAAGCCTGAAAGGAAAAAGCACTAAACCCTGACCCCTAAACCCAAGAAAGCTGTTATTCTACATATCCTTGGGGTTCTTTATAGACCCCTGAAGGGCAACAGCCTGGGCGGGTGCTAAAGAAGTTCATTGAAGCTACCATATTATGGGTATGTAGTAAATAATGGAGCTCCCTTGTTATCTTACTGGCTCTTCGTAGGGAATGAGGGAATATAATCCCAAACTAGTACCCATAGAATGTATCCCCCGTCCCTACTAGGCCTAAACCCTATCTGTATGCGTATATATATATATATGTATATGTTTTAAGAAAAGTCATACTCCCAACTCAGAACCAGGAAGTTATTTAGACAGGCTCCTTGACAGCAACCCAGAAGCAGCCCAGGGCCTGGCGACACGCATCAAGAAGCCGCGTTGCCAAAGGAATCTCCAGCCTGAACAGCAAAAACTGAAATATGCACTACATATATTGCATGGTTTGGGATATTTAGGGGTTAGGGAATTTAGGGCTTGAGTTTGGGATAGGTAGAGGTTCAGGATTTTAGGATAGGTAGGGGTTAGGGAACTTAGGGTTTAGGGCTTAGCGCAAAGAAGACCCCAAACCCTACGGAAATTATACCCAAACCATTACTGTGTAAGTCTTAGGGAAAGGAAGGTCCCAAACCCAAACATATGCACCCTAAATAACGACAGGGCTTAGGGTTAAGTTTGGGATGGAAGTTTCCTAAACCATGGGGTCCGGACTTCAGCCAGGGCAGGGCCGGGAAACAGGAATATGATCCTAAACCCTAAATCCTATAAACCTTACAACTTTAAAACCCCAAACCCCAAACCCTAAAACCCTAGAACTCCAATAAGAGGAATTGATTGAGCTGTGTTTTCGTGAGCGGACCCCGAATACTGTGCTTGAAGGGGGTTCTCAAAAAGGGCTGACCACGAGGGGACCCAGGGACCGAGCGGGTTTCCACCACACGTTATGTAGTTTAGGGTATGCAAAGTGAATTGCATTTTCTTGCATGAGCTATAATCTAAACTCCTAGTCCTCTATATAATCACCTAAATAACCCCCCTTCAAGGAGTTTAGATCATGGACGCATGGTGGGGGGGGGCAGTGCTTTTTCTGGCATGGGAGTGGCTTCCCAATGCGGGTGTCTTTTGCGGTGTAGATTGAGGATCACGGACAAAATCTCACAACCAGAATGGCAGTCGTGCCGGCGCACTAGGTTAGTAACGAGTGTATAAGCAACTCGCATCCGTACTCCCAAAAGCGTCCATGTAGGAATATGGTATATACCTCGAGCCCAGGGGATTCCCATATACTATCATCATTAGGGCTTGTCGGACGCGTTGGGACAAGGCCAGGCTAAGGCCATTCCAGGAACTTCAGAAACTGTTAAAGGGCCCATACCCACCGGCAAAACTATAAACACACACAAGATTATGGGAAGCAAGTCCCTCCCCAAGACAAGAAGCCGTGGCCTGCCATAGACAGAAACCCCGGACTTTCAAAACTAATGAACTCCCAAAGTATCAATGTAGGAATGTAGGTATACAGTATATACTCGGAGCTTGATGGTTGGGAACCCCTGCAGATCCAAGGACCCAAATATGAGGGCTTCTCACCCCAAATACCATTCAGATTATAGTGCTTGGGCCTAAAGCCCTGTTATGTGAGTCCTTGGACCCTTAGGGCAATGAAATTTGCACTTGCTTACGCCAGAAGCAGATGGGTCTGGAGCGTTTCGTTTTCAGCGGCGAAAGGTTTTCAAATTTCGGCCCATGGCCCGTGCAAGACTTAAAGGGGTTCAAGGCCCAACACCCAATTAAAAAGACATGACTTGCACTTGGCCTTGCACTTGTTGAACCTTGCGTAGGGCCCCAAACCCCAGACCCTAAACCCTATATTCTATCTACTTAAGGGGGCCTATAAGCCCTAAACCCCAAACCCTAAACCGGATTCCTTGAGAATTTTCAGGCCACCGCCTGTACACGCGGGATGCGAGCACACGAAGCACCACTGCCAGGGCCTCCCAGCTCTGCATCGAACTCCGTATAATGTAGACCCATGATGGATAACGGGAGAGAACATGAAAACGACTGTTTAGGATTTAAGGTTTAGGGTTTGGGGTTGTAGACCCATGATGAAATAAAACCCCTAAAAGGGACTAAATATTAGGATCCCTATTATAACCCCTATTAAGGGGAGAGCGGTTTAGAGTTTAGGGGTTTAGGGGTTTAGGGTGTAGGCAATTTAGGGTTTAAGGGTTTCGGGCTTAAGGGTTTAGGGTAGCACCCATTGGGGTAATCTTAGGGTTTTATAGGGCATGTATTGGGATAATGGGAAAGAAAATGGAAACTACAGGGATTATAGGGGTCATATAGGGTTTAGATTGTAGGATTCATGGTTTGGGTAGGGTTTAGGGTTCAGGGTTCAGGGTTTGGGGTTTAGGCGCCGCTGATGGAGAATTAAATGGAAAAGAACATGGAACATGACATGCAAACTGGGCTTGTGTAAGGGTGTATAAGGATCATGAGATGGAGGGGCCTCGTAATTACAAACATCTGTCTGAGGTCAATTTGAGGTACCCTATAATATGAACATTGGCTATAGACGAGCAATCATCAACTATAATACAGGTAATCTGAAGAATCCCTCAACCCTAATCCCTTAATATTCAATGCCAGGTCTAAGGTCTGAGAGTCTCGTGCACGGTCTGACAATGCACAGGTTCTAAGCTCCTAGTATCCCCCTGTATCATCTCCAATCATACTCCCATATATAATCCTCTACATAACCCCCTTATAGCTCACTTAGGGAGAACTAGCCGTTGAAGAGCATTGGCGTGTGCGGTCTTTAAGGCTCTAAGCTCGAAAGCCCAAATTTAACAGCCTCGTAGAACTCCAGCGCTATGTATGTAGGAAAGTGAACATGGCATGCAAGCCAGACAACTCTGAAACCTGCAAACAAACGTGCCTGAAATCTTCTGTGACCCCTCAATCTTGTGCTGGAAGTGACAAGCTGATATCCTATGTGGTGCAGTAGTTAACGTGAAGCCTTAAACCGCAAGACTATCCCCCATCAACACATGGCACATTGCAGAAATAGTGATCCTTCCGGATAACGTTGAGGTCTGACTGCTGCACGTACTAGACTCCTGCAATTGTAAATCGGCCCCGCTATATTGTACAAAAGGAAGGGGGCTCCGCCAGACAAATTTGGATTGTCGCTCGAAATAAAATGGTAGTTTCCCAAAATAGGGGGAACCCCAATATAGACCCCAATATACTATAGTCCTTATTATGGGGACCCCCCCAAAAAGGTACCCCCAATTTTGGGAAACCCCTAAATCAAGAGGAGGAAGGTTTTCGGGGCTCTGCAGGCGCTTTGAATTGATTCGAATAGGAGGAGCGTAGCGAAGCACAGAAACTATTTCAACGAAAATCCAATAAGAGGGGAGTTGCAGAGCTCGGTAGCTGCCGTGAATAAAACTCACTATATAGGAGGGCACTTGCGAAGCTCAGTAGATTGTTCTGAAGCAAATTCAATAAGAGAAGTGCTCTGGAGCTCAGTAACTTTTGTAAGATGAAGTCAATAGGACGGGGTAGCGATCCTTTAAAAGCAAAAGCTTTTGCTTTCTGGAACTCCTAAGGCCCGAAAATTGCGTATTATTTAGCCCACCCAAAACATTCGTTTCATTAGGAACCCAAGCAGCTGCTGGACTAGCCCTTTTCACAAGCGATTTCCTGTTCTCCTTGATTCGGCGGTTTATTGCAAGTCCATAGCTTGGGGCCCGGCCTGAAACCTGACACCCTGAAGCTTAAGATCCTTCAGGCAAGCATTGGAATCTAACATTCCAGTAAGCGCAGCTGAGATAAGAAAAAATCGTGCATTCTACCTAATAACTACTAGGTAACTACTGTCAGACAGTTTTATGTTAGGCCGTGCAACTTCGCACAACTGTGGCCCCCAGACAAATCAGAGGGTTCTGAAAAAATCGACCAAACTTCGCACAATTAAGCCCCCCCCCCCCCCACACACTAATCGGGACTCGACATTATACCAAATCTGTGTTGGGTCATATTAGTGTGAGCTACAGGTGAGGTTGCTAATTTGCCCAGTAATAAACCCTATAATTCCCCCATATGTAACCCACCCGATTACACCCTTTAAGGAGCTTAGACTATATTAATGAACATTCTTTTGACAACCCGAGTCATGTCTCAGCCTGTCCAATCCCATGCAAAAATCGGCCTCCGTTTCCTGCATCGTGGCCAGCGCCTCCAAAGACAGAAAACAATACTCCACGCAGTTCAGGGTTTAGGGTTTGGAGTTTAGGGTTGAGGGTGTTAAGTGCTTAGGGTCTTGGAGGCCTTTCAGTGAATCCCAGGATTGGGCATGGCATATTTTGTCTGCGCCCAGTTGTTCACATAACATTTTGTCTACAGAGAGCCTGTAAAAACCTTGCACTACCTAGACCCCCCAAGTACCCTCTATAGACCCTAAGTATTCGCAAATAGAGGCTACATAGACCCTATTTTAGCTTCGAAACCATTAGCAACCCGGGGGTCCTCCAAAGCAGAGCTTAGTGGGTTGCTATGAAGTTCTCAGGACACGGCTCTATGGTGAACAATAGAGCTTCCTTATTTTGAAAACTTAATTAAACTTTGGGTACTGCCCCCACCCAGTAAAAGTTCATATTAGGGGTCCTATTAAGGGCTATATATAACCATACTAGAATCATTATCCAACTGTTACTGAGGGGGGGCAGTACCCAAATTAAACTCCTTAACCGAACCCAGCGAAGCAAAACTTACCGTGAGCTTTGTAGCAAAGGGCTGCCAGCACTGGAAGGGTTGAAGTAGACAGGTTAGTGCGTAACAGGTATGGGGTGTAAGTTTGGTGTGAAGTTTAACCCCAAACCCTAAACAACTAAACCCTAAACCTAAAAAATCTGAACCCTACACCTTGAACAACTAACCTTAAACACCAAAAACATAACTAAACCCTGCACCCTTAAACCTGAACCACAAACCCCAAGCCCAGTAGAGTTTGGGGGATTGGGGCTTTGAGGGTGCTGCTGGCGGTGGTGCTCTCGACGCTCATGTCCAGTGTCAGGACCTGAACGCGCACGGGCTCCACACAGATCTGTCCCTGCTTCTTGTGTCTGGCTTCCAGCAGCCAGCTGGTTTGGGTCGCCAGGTATTCCCGGCGCACCAAGGCGGACCGGCCCGCCAACGTGTACTGGTACGCGGACTGGTATTCCATCGCCAGACTCACGTACTACGGCGCGCTGAGGTCGTGCAAGAACTCGTGGAGCTTCTTGCAGCTTGCCTGCATGTAATCCTCACCATCAATGGTATCACAGCCAAACTCATCAACCAGGGATGGCGAATGGATCCTAGGTCCCATACCTTTTGACCCCGACAACATGGAAATGGCCTGGATCTCTGTGAAAGGAATGGTGCATCGACATAGGATAATGCCCTCTACAAAAGTGTTGGTTTTCAACAAATGAGTTCCATCCAAATGTATATATTCAGTTCCAAGAATATTATCAAAAATGGTGCTGGTTGACAACCATGAAACAACGAATCGGGGCCTCCAGTACTTATCCCTAAGGCTCCAAGGACTAACATGATGCGGCTTTAGGGCTATAATCTCCATGGCATTTGGGGCCTAAAGCCCTGATATGTGGGCCCTTGGACCCTTTTATAGTCCCCACATATCCCCATATATCCCCCTATAACCCCTATAAAGGGATCCTATTATTTGGGTGCTTGGACCCTTAGGGTATGGATCCCAATATGCTCAATGTCTTTTGACAAACATCTCCCAAGGGCAAGCCAAAAAACTTGAAGAAAGCCACGCATAGCTGGCTAAGTAAACTGCATCTCTCTACATATCCCTACATATCCCCATTTACCATTACGTGCCCTACATATAATTGATTGTCAAAATTACAATCCCTTTTTGGATACCCTAAATATTAGGTGCCGTATTATAATAGGGATCCAAAAAGGGACCATAATTTTGACAACCACCCATATGCCTCCCACATACCTTTGGCCGTAAACCTTCAACCCTGAACCCTAAACCCTAAACCCTAAACCCCTAAACCCTAAACCCCCTAAACCCTAAACCCTAAATCCTAAACCCTAAAACCCCTAAAACCCTAAAAAATAAACCCTAAACCCCTAAACCCCTAAACCCTAAACCCTAAACCCCTAAACCCTAAACCCCTAAAACCCAAAACCCAAAACCCTAAACCCTAAGACCTTTAACCCTAAAGCCAACCTCAGCTCCATAAGCCAAGTCCGTCTCCTTGAGATCGAGCAGAATCTGGCGCATCTCATCACTTTGTTGTGCATAACTTAGGGGTGTAGGGTTTAGGGTTTAGGGTTTGGGGTTTAGGGTTCAGCATCTCAGTTCAAGCATTCATTCCGAGAGCAGCTGTTCTAAGTATCAGAGAAATACCCACCCGCC